CACATTACATCAGCTTTTGAACTAAAGCAACTTGTAATCAGTGCAAGAGGATATTCAGAACAGCAAGAAATCTGCAAGTAAATTAGTTTAGGTGGTACTGCATTCGAATCAATTATAAAGTAATAATGAACACCAATTTAGTTTAAATAGAGCAGTTTATTCTACTTAATTCCTGTGCAAATCCTTAATTGAGTACAGCCTTAACTCAACACAACGATCTAAACCGTCTTATTTGCCTCTATTTGCCCTGTACCTAGTCATAAATTAGATAGTTCATTCCATGAAATTTCCCTTGACATTATTAGGACATTACAGACTCATAAAATAAAGTGCTACCAATACAACATACAATTATATAGCCTAGTAATTACGCACATTATCTTCACAAAACAGCACATACAGGTTTTTTTTTGTATCTAATACTGGGTTCCCGTCAGTGCTGTATTACATGAAGCACAGCAGGTGGCTGCAAAGAGCTTCTGAGTTATTTTACAATGGCTGCCACCAGGCCTGTGTGTTCTCTATGTGGGGTGGATAGAGATGGTGGGGATGAGTGTTGATGCTGCAGCTGGCAGCACTGTGGCACTCATCACGCAGGTATTACAGGTCCTGTGGGAAAAGGGAGGACTTTTCTTCGCCTGGATCAACGGGCCCAGTGGGACAGCATGCTCAAGCAAAGCAGAAAGCGTATTGGCTACACATACTTAGTGTGTTTGTGTCTGTTTGCTCCTCTTTTTCCCCTTCCTCCCATTGACGGAAGAGCTTTTACCCTGAGCCTAATCTCTACAGTTGAGCATCATGGGGGTGGAGAATAAGCTTGGAGTACTCAGAACACCTGGGGACAATTACTTCCCCAAGTAGTAATCGTGCCGCTCATAATCTAACAAACGCCCTCACAGGGCCCGCCGTGGCACACACTTGGCTTTTCTGAGGCTGAAAATGTGCAGTGACTGGGCCTGTTTGTAGGTCTATTGGCTGCTGCATGTAGACCCATATAGATTGTGAACTCAACAACCATGAGATGCAGTGTGTATCTAGGACATTAATTCAGAGGAGGATGCATCAAACTGATTACAAATTCTAGCAAGATGCATAAGGCCAGACGTGATTCTTATCCACCCAGAGAGCAGGAATACATTTCTGTGACAGATCACTGCACTGCAGCTGAGAGAGTTATTTTGGGTCGGTTTATGAGTCGAGCTGAATTTGAACCTTGACTTAACTGGGAACATTCTTGCCTATATTTCAAATTATACCTTTTTCAAACAGCACAATTTGTCAAACCACATAAATATTTCTGAAGTTAATACAGTTTTAGTTCTTAAAAGTCTAACAATTTCTCCCTGAGGAGGTACATTGTCACACAGTGACACGCATACGCTTGATATTTGTTTCCCTCGAAGCAAGCCTTTGACAACAGAATATTTCCTTTCCCTTCTATTTAAAATCCAAATGCACTCCCATTCTCTCAGGCGAGTCTCATATGAGGCATTTGCTACGAAAATACATCAGTATTGTAAATTGGAGCTGCTTGTGTTCTTCCTGTACAATCTCCTGCTGCCTCTGTTGTCCGCTCTCCCCTGCTATGACAGCTTGTTGATGGAATAATGGGGGTGTTGGGCATACTACAGCTAAGCCATTTGATACTACACAGATTGATGGGTTTACAGTGTAAATGACACACAACAGCCCATATCCTAGGCTTCAGCCTATAAAGTCATTAACTAACAGCCTGGAAATAATGAAGGAATATATCGTGGACGGATGATGATGTTTGCTTGTTTATATGAATATATATATATATGATTAGCTTTGCTAATTAACATATCCTGCAATTTTCTATTTTCATTTGTCAAAATTAAGTTGTGTATCATAATGTGTTTGTACTACAAATGGGCTCTAATAGAGCAACAGATAATATATGTAATTATAGATAAGCATTGTTTGTGTTTGAGGAGACTGGTCAATTAAAATAAGCATTCACAATGATAGCTATAGAAAAGACCCCGTCATTATTGATAAAATGTAGGGGAACATTTATAATTGTATAAATCCTGCTCTCTTGGACTGTTATGCTGTTGCAAAACAGTTGCATTGACCGGTGTGATAAAAGGAAAAAGTACAAACGAGAACGGAGGGTAGACCTTGCCAGCTAGTTATCGCAAGACTCATTCGTCACGGTGGGCAACCTTTAAACCAAGTGATATTTTCAGCTAATCATTTCTCATCCTTTTAACATTTTGCCACTGAGCGAACACACTCAATTTGCACGGAAATATGTAGTCGGAGTTCAGGTAAATTAATTTATATTTTAATTCTAATTATCCTTTTGCACCAATTTGCTGTAGCATAGCCTATACAATAATTAACATTAACCTTTATGCAGGCAGATGTTTGCGGTAAAAATGTGATTTTCTAAGGCTGACCGGCTTAAAAGTTTGATTTTAGTTGTTGTATAAGTCAGCAATGGCTCAGCTTTTGTTTGTGCCTCTAATGTAATCAGTGTCGAGAATTGTAGAGTGATGATTACAATGCAATCACATAGCTACAAATTTGTTTTACTCGGACAAAGGCCTACAGAACAATACACAGGCGATTTGTTATGTTGACATTTCAAGCTTTCTTAAAGACTTTCCTATAAAGCTAAAATGAAAATGAGTACTTTTGTACTTTGCATGTTGTTTGTTGAATAACCAGAAGTAAATAATCTAATCCAATACATTTCAAAGATAATGTAATTTCTTATAAAAAAAAGGATGTGGTTGTGCATGCCGGGTAACGAAAGGAGAAGGGACCTCATATGTTACTTCCCGCCGACATCTTTGTTTGGCCAAGCAGTCAAAGAAAATATAAATGGATATGCACCCCAGGAACTTGTTGTTGCACCAAGTCGACCCTTTTGGCTACCTTTTAAATATTTTTCCTAAAAATGTGTTTACATTTTCTTCCAAGGTTGGGAAATTCTTATTCTATTTAAGTGTTAATAGTACCAGACAGAGGAGGAATACTCTGAAGTCCTGCATTCAAAAGGTTACTCAAGTAAAAGTGCAAAAGTGTTATCATCAAAATATACTTAAAGTACAAAAAGTAAAAGTACTCCTTATGCAGATTTGCCCGTTAAAGAATAATGTATATGTTTTGATTATAATTATTGATGCAAGTGTTATCAAAGCTGGGAAAGGTGCAGCTAGTTTTAAATACTTTGTATGCTGGTAGATTGTGAATTTACTCCAGGTAAACTAAAGTCTTATTTAAGAGTTTATTATATTATTAAAGTAACTGAAGGTAGTAAATAAATGTAGGGGAGTAAAAGTACATTATTTACCTCTGTATTATAGTGGAGTAGAATTACAAAGTAGCATTAACTTGAAATACTCAAGTAAAGTACAACTTTCTAGAGTATGTGCTTAGTTACTTTACAACTCTGGTAAAGAGCGACCATTAATGAGTTAGTTAAGTGAGATAAAGAGAGACATTTAAACTGCGGTTACTAACTAAATCATTTCCCCTGAAGGTAAGGTAAGGTAAGGTACGTTTATTTATAGCACATTTTCAGACAGAGGCAATTCAAAGTGCTTTACATCAAACACTTAACAAGAAGACAACATAAAGGAACACAATAAATAAACATAATGGAATAACAGATTCATAAAAACCATGCATAAAAGAGATACAGAATAGTTTTAAAACAACATTGTAAATACGGTAGTGCTAAAACAAGTTAAAAGACTTCTGGGTAAGCAGATGAAAAAAGTAGCGTTTTTAGCCTCGACTTAAAAGAACTCAGCGTTGGCGAAAACCTCAGGCTTTCTGGAAGTTTGTTCCATTTGTGGGGAGCTAGAAAACTAAAAGCAGCTCGCCCCCCCGATGATGAAGGACACGGGAAGCAGCAGGAAACACACCTGTTGCTAGCCAGAATCAGGTGAGGATGCTAGCATGCACAGGCTAACTTTGGAGGCACACTCCATTTAGATCCGCAAGATGTGACAGAGGACTACATATATTTCCCCCAAGGTTTGAGTTACAATGCGTGTTCCTCCCTGAGATGTCATGGACTGGATTAGATAAACGCCACATTTTTATAGCCATGCACTATTGAGGAGACAACAAAAACGCCTTTAGGGGAAAATAATCACAAAATCATAACAAACAGAGGTGCTCACAACGCTTCACATCACATAAAGGATCATTTATATAATGGGACACTGAAGAAGATACTTCATATGATGAGATCAACGGAACCCCACTTAATGCTCCAGACCCCCGTTGGCAACATCTGTGAAGAATCCAGACAAAGCAAGTCATTATTTTTAACTTTGCATGGCTGTGCTGCACTGAACATTAGCTTGGCTGTTTTTATTCTCGCGTTGTTTATTAAGTGTGCATTGTGTCGGTGTGAGCAGCTTGCTTTGGTTTGTTTATCAGCATCATCGTTGTGGTTATTGATTGAAGAGTGCACATTTTGGATTGGGCTCAGTTTTCTGGGTTATGGATTGTTGTTTGGACTACGTTTTTAATAGTGCATCTGCCTTCCCTGCTGAAAAAACCAGCTTGGACCAGCATGGTGTTGACCAGCATGGACCAGCATGGTGTTGTGTTTTGGTCACCAGCATGGACCAGCATGGACCAGCTTGGTCCACCAGCATGGACCAGCATGGTCCACCAGCATGGACCAGCATGGTCCACCAGCATGGACCAGCATGGTCCACCAGCATGGTCCATGCTGGTCCATGCTGGTGGTCCATGCTGGTCCAAGCTGGTCCATGCTGGTGACCAGCAGACCAGCATGGTCCACCAGCATGGACCAGCATGGACCAGCATGGTCCACCAGCATGGACCATGCTGGTCCATGCTGGTGACCAGCAGACCAGAATGTATCTATCACCAGCTTATGTTAGTATTAAATATACAATGTATTCTGGTAACTATCAAAATAAAGACATTGTATAGTGTTCATAACAGTATTTTTATTTAATAAATTATACATTAACAATACAGTACAATAATATTACAAAAAAAACCTACGTCTAAATAAATATATCATCTATAATAGATGCATTTGATTTAGAAATAACAAATATAATTCAACATGTAAATAGCAACAAATAAATTATAAAACATTTTTTTTAAAGTTTTTTTTTTTTTCTTCTTGTTGATATCCATTATCTTCTCTGTTATGTATCTTCCGGTCTTTGCCAATCCGGCCAGCATTTATTGGTCCTCCACGTATTTCTCGTACAGCCACTGCTTGAAGCAAACTGAAAATAAGAAACAACAATGTTTTAACAAATCGTATTCAATTATGTGATGACAGAACTGTAAACAGAAGTTATTACTTGATAGAGGCTGCCTGGTGGTCTTGGTGGTGGGGCATTCCTTTCCAGTCAGGCTCCTTTCCCCTAAGGTGTCGGTGCCCCAAAACGCCACAGCCAACTCCTTCACGAACATGGAGTCCCTCGTGTTGTTTTTTATTTTTGCCCAGACCTCTGGACGCACTGGAATCTCCCCTTGCAAGTGAATGACAACAATCTGAAACATAAAATGTGTACAGTAGCCTATACATAAAAGCTAGACACCAACATGAGACTGAGGAGCAAAAATAAAAAGGCTCCACTATGGAAATAATATATACCTTCCCATGTGGCTCGCTCTTTGAAGGGGAATTATTGGGGTGTGTGGGTGTCCAGGTGCCGGCTCACGCTGTTCAGGTATCTCAGATTGTTCTTCTACAGAATGTGAATAAGACAAAGAAAGGACAAAAACATTTCATCAATAGTATAAATTCATGTGTATATCTTGATGGGCTGATTGTTTACACATTTCACTGCCATCTTGTCTGTTTCTTTTATTGTAGTTGCTGATGAAAGTTAAAATGCAAAATCGATCCAAGACTGTCATTATTATTTGCTTGCAATTTAAAAACAAATGTACTTACTTTGTGAAAATACCTGGTTTAATAGTTTATCCAAATGAATGTTTAGATTTGCTGTCCTGTAGGTGGTGACTTCCCCTTCCAGCTCAGCTTTGGAATCCTCCAATGTAGCAGATCTTTATAATGTAATGAAAAATAAAATGATCAACAAAACAGCCTTTTAGCCTACCACCAGTCAAATCTGTTGTTACCCTATGACTGGTAAAAACACAAACATTAAATGTACCTTCTGTATTAACCGTCTAAAGATGAGTTCCTGTTGTAATTGTGCAGCTGTATTATCTGGGAAATAGAAGAATCGGGTAAGGATTCGGTATTTTTTTATTTATTTTTCTTATTGCTATTTAACTATATTTTATTACGGTGCCCTTAAAGATTTTTTGTTTTGTATTATATTTCTTTTTTTATATGTTATGTCTGCACCATGACATCAAGTCAAATTCCTCGTATGTGTGAACCAGAGGTTGCGCTAGACTTTTACCCTGTCCGTCATTCTGACGGCATGCTCGTGAACTGTCAACGGGGGGGGGGAGGGACAGTTCACATGCGCCGTGTTATGCATGGCTGCTGCACCTCGCGGGACTGCGGTCAACTCAGCCGTCTCTCAAATTTGCTTGGTCAAATGAACAGTTCTTCATTTTTGAGTGCGCGATTTATTGCGCCTTTACGGTAATCGCTGAGAAGTGGCACTAACGCAGTAAAAAAAAATGCATGTTTTTTCTGCTTCATGCGATACAAATTATTTTTACCATGAGTTCGTAAAAAAACTAACACTGTTTGACTCAGTCCTAGTTTGACTGCCACCAACAATAAAAGTACTTTTACTGTCTTTTTTCTGGGTAATAGCCTACTCTCAAATTCCCCTCCTGAGAACAAAATCATGCAACTTCTGCTATATTTGATGAGATCAAATGATTTTAGCGATACATCCTTAATAAAAGTGATACTGTTGGACTCAGTACTTGTAAGACTACTACCACAAGTACAATCAAGTACTTTTACTGTGTACTTTTGAGTAATCCCCTCCAGAGTACAATAATGCATGTTTTCTGCCCTCTTTGATGAGAGCCTTTTTTGCGTGCACAGCGTAAAGCCAAAACTCTCAGACATTTCAATGATTTGTACGGCACAGTTAGGTTTGGAAACGGTATCATTTCCTTTTTGGAGGGCATGCATAACACGGCATAACACCGGAGCCTCGCTGCGGGGAAACGTTGGCGCTGCTCTGAGTTTGTTCTAATCTTTCAAAATGACGGACTGCTTTCAGATTTGTCCGTCATTGTTAAAAAAAATCCGTCAGACGGAAAATATTCGGTTAACGCGACCTCTGATAGGCAGACAATCAATATGAAATGACTCGGATCGTTATTAGCATCAGCATTTGATCACCTTTGTCTACTTGCAGCTCAAATACAAAGATAACTCCACTCCTCTCCTACCACTGCTTACCTCTAATAAGCCTTGGTAGAACTAGTGTCCTAGTCATAGGGTCCAGGACTGACTGAAGACATGTGGAACAGAGTCCCAGGCATGGTTCCATGTAGGGAACTGGAACTTTGAACAGGTGTTTTCATCTGTTCTGCCTGAAGATTCACAAGTTCTTGATCAGGTGTTTGATGTGGGCTGGCATGATCCTTTCTGCAGCCAAACAAAGAAAACATTATTAATAACAGCAATGATGGTAACAACAATACTATTAGTATAACTATTTATATAGCACTTTCACAATTGCAAAGTGATTCTCACTACAAAAAGAAAGAACAAAACAATATCATCAATACAAAAAATAAGCATTAAAGAAGTTCAGAGACAAACATCCTCTTAAGTAAAAGACCAAATCCTGTCAAGCTTTAAATCTTTCAGTCTTTACAATGCACTGTTGGAAATTACCTTCCAAAGGCTAAATTCAAACTCAAAAATAACTGGGTACCAAATTGCTTTACCTGATAGAACACGTTCCACACGGAGCAGCAACCATCCGGGTGGGCCTTTTGCTGCATATCATCTCCTCCCTCTCCACTGTTTCCAGTAGATCTGCCTCTTTCCAATTAAACTGAAATGCCCCAAATCATATTTAAAAAGTTAAAAACAATAAATTGCTTCTGGCATTAACATGGATTTGAATCTCACCTTTTTCCTGGATGTCAGGAAGGCCAGGAAGTGGTTCCCTTTAAGTCCACAACCAGTCTTCTCTTTCTTTCACCCTCCGAAAATCTCCCAGCATGCACCAGGAAGAAGAAGAAGAAGAGGAAGAAGCAGAAGATGAATTTTTCAGAACATTTTCCTTAAAAATAAGAAAAACATACCGATTTCTTTTTTAGAGCATCCATTTCTGTGGATGTCCCTTCACAATGATCAAATCAAAAACTCTTCTTGGATCCTTGGAACTCTGATTCGTTTTGAAGGATTTGATGTGGAGTCCTGAATCTCTTCACTGTAAGCCCGGATAAGTTGAATCTACTTAAAAAAATAGCGTAAAGTGGTTGCCTTTAAATTTAAGTAAAGCATTATGAAAACTTGAGTAAATTAAACTTAAATTAATCAAGGACTTTAATTGTTATTTGAAGTACAATCCACTTCATGTCAAGTTGATTTTACTTACATTTTTAAGTCAACCACTTTCTATTTTTTTAAGTAACGCATTAGGAAAACTTGAGTAAATTAAACTTAAATTATTCAAGGACTGGAATTGTTATTTGAAGTACAATGCACTTCATGTGAAGTTGATTTTACTTAAAATAGTGTAATATCAATTGGTTTTTTCCAATTATTTAACTTAGAATTTTTAGTTGAAAGTGGTTACATTTCGTATTTATATTTTTTATTCCGTCAACTACAAAAAAGAAAAAAGACACAAAAATAAAGTTTTACCTTTTATTAAAACTTGAGTGTTTCATTTGGTTACAATGAAATTGAGCTTCCTATACAAACTGTGGCAAAATATTGTACCATACATTTTCCTGAGAACATTTTTCACATGAAACAATAGCAATCTCTCTATATATAAAGATATAGTTATATCTATAATATATATATAAAAATAGATATATAGATCTATATATTTATGTAGAGCTCTGAAAAAATTAAGAGACCTCTGTAAAATTATCAGTTCCTCTCGTTTTACTATTGGTAAAAACTGGATTAACATTTGTATTTTATTCTATAAATGAATGACTGACTACATTTATCCCAAACTCCAAATATTCTCATTTAGAGCGTTTATTTACAAAAAATACCAAATGTTCAAAGTAACCAAAAAAGATGGAGTGTTTTCAGACCTTGAATAGTGCAAAGAAAACAATTTAAAATTCATTTTTCAACAACACAATACTAATGTTTTAACATAGGAAGGGCTCAGGAATCAATAATTGGTGGAATAACCCAGATTTGCAATCACAGCTTTCATGCGTCTTGGCTGCTCTGCAACACCTTTCACATTGCTGTTGGGTCACTTATTAAGCCACTCCTGGCACAAAAAAATCAAGCAGCTTGGCTTTGAGTGATGGCTTGTGACCATTCATATTCCTCTGGATCACATCTGGATTGACCTGGCTGTGGGGCATGGAGCATTGTCCTGCTGGATAAACCCACCCTCAGCTCAATTCAGGTGTGAATGGAGGAAGACCAGATCAAGACCCTGTCATGTAACAGTTGGAACCCCACTGGATGTGATCCAGAGGAAGATGGATGGTCACAAGCCATCAAACAAAGCCGAGCTGCTTGAGTTTGTGTGCCAGGAGAGACAAAAAGTCACCCAGCAACAATGTGACAGACTGGTGGCGAGCAACCAAGATGCATTGAAAGCTGTTATTGAAACATCTGGGTTATTCCACCAAATATTGATTTCTGAACTCTTCCTAAGTTCAAACATTAGTATTGTGTTGTTTAATAATGAAGAACTTGTTTTCTTTGCATTATTTGAGGTTTGAAAACATCTCTGTTATTCTGACCAGTTGTAATTTTCTGCAAATAAATGCTCTAAATGACTTTTGGGAGAGATGTTGTCAGTAGTTTATAGAATAAAACATAAATGGAAATGCCAACAAGCTTAATAGGTCAAACAGTGCAAACATGCAACAACAACAAAATGCAATATGGAAGCCTAAATACTTGCCATATGTAACAGTAGCCAACTTTTCAGAACCCCGTTTTACAATGTAAGCTGATTTTTCAAAGTCTGAATTTTGGGTGCCAGCTCAACTTTACCAAGTTTTAATATCACCTGCTGAACAAAGTGGAAAGTGTTTTTCATGCACTTTGGGTACTCCAGTTGCAGGGCATAAATGAGTCTGAACAGGACACAGAAGGCCTGAGGCAGGTTAGCCGGTCCATCCATCACCACATTCCCCTCCAAGACGATTGCCACACTAGATGGGTTGAGCTGAGGATTTTCTCCGACACAGAGGATTCCCAGTGGAGTTTGACTGTACACCTCCTTATCAGCCGCATCCTAACAGAGAAATAAAGAGTGACAGATAATTCTACATCGTCCACCAAAAAGTAGCTTCCACTGTTTATAATGAAAAGCATCATACATATTTAAAAAACATATCATATTTCATTTATATTGTTGGTGAATTAGTTAAAGACAATATATATAAGGAATAGTGTAAGTTAAATTTAGTTCCGTATTTTTTTTAAACTGAAATATGTCCCGGGTCAATTTCACCCAAAAATTACCAAAGGGTGCAAAATGTGAACATAACACAAGCGTTAAAGTAACTTACGGTGCAGGTCTTGAAGAAGGCAGAAGGCTCATCCCCCAAGATGATTGGCAGTCCCCGAACACAAAGGCATCTGATGGCTCAGTGGTCTGGAATATAGTGGAGATAACAAAGAATGGTCATATATTCATCAAATACATTCTACAAACTCTACACAATTACTTTATTGCAAATATACTTGAAAGTAAAGGAGAGGACAAAAGGAGATGACATGATGGGAGAGAATAGAAAAGGGAGAGAACATAATTTCTTCTTGACCAAAGAATAGAATAGGAAACAAAACAAGAGAGCAAAGCAAAATGAACAAGGGAAAAGAGGAAACAATGACACATGAAGAGATGCAATTAAATTGACAGGACAAGAGCAGCAAATGAGAGAAAAGAAGAGATGAGAAGGAAGTCAAAGGGACAGAAGAGGAACAAGGAGAGAGGAAAGAGATTGGGTAGACAGATGTTAAGTAAACCCACCTTTGTCTGACTTAGCTCAGACAGAAATTGGCCAGTGACACCCTTCTTCTTCCTAAAGAGGTCCATCAGGCTCGGAGAGAAACGGTCAAGTGCATCGAAGAAGTTGTCCTTGAGATTTTTCCCCACCACTCTGTTGAACTCGCAATAAACCTGAAACACAAAAGAGAACAAACCATGTAAAACTGTCAAATAAAATTATCCTTGGTGAAACAAATAAGTGCATTTTTTTTATTTAGACAGCTTTTGCTTGCTTCACCATCTGATTTTTCAAGATGCCTCTGTGCACTTCTCACAGTAATATCTTAATAAAATCAGATATTTAAGTAGGTATGAGGATATAACTACATTTTATGAACATTACATTTAGAACACAAAAGGACAAACAAACCTGGGGAGGTTTCAGCCTGGAACCTCCACCCCGCTGCGGGACCCGTGGTGGGACCCCCGAGTCAGACGATGCGTCTTGGTCACGCTTCATATCGGCCCGGCCCAGGAAGAGACGCAGCACACCCTCCCGGCCATCAGAGTCGAACCCGCAGTTCGGAGGAACCGACCGCCAGGACACCGGCACTAGGCCGGTGGAGGCCCTCCGATGGTGGGTCGCGTTTGCCATTCTATCAGTGAGAAGAGAGGACAAAAATGCAACAAGAATTGTCAAAATCGGTTAATATATGGGGGGTGGGGGGGTAACGGCTGGACACAGGCCGTGGGGGGACACCCGAGACCGGGCTATGTCCCCGTTAGAAGGAACCGGGTGAAATAGCCAAAAAAAGAAAAATTAATAAAAACCGGGGAAAAGTGACAAAAAGTGTCAGAAAATAGGCACTCGTGAGGCGGGCAGAGTCCCCTGGTAACTCCCGTTACATTCCTCCATGGTTTGAGCGAAAAATGGCTAAGTCAACTATTACGAGAACCAGGATGGGGGGTTCAAAAGGCCTGCCCAAGGCCGACCCAAAGTGCATGGTGAGCAGACTCATCACCTCCGTGAGAGTGGAGCCTGCAGGCAGATCACTCTCAGGCTGACAGGCAGGTAAGTGATCATTATATGATATTCTGTACCCGCAAAAAGCTAAAACAAAGGGCCGGCTGTCACAAAACAGTCATATCTAGAGACCTCAAAAACTACTCTAGCGAGGCCTTTAACCTAGAACTGGAGAGCCTGGACTGGTCAGATGAGCTCAGTGGTACACAAGTTGAAGAAACATGGCTTGGTTTCAAAAACAAATTCTCTGCAATACTCAATGATTCCTAAGAACAACCAGGATAAACAAATCGCGCTGAGCCGTGGATGCACTCCGGCATACTGACTGACCGCCATGAAAACCAGAGACAAAAAATGCTCTGAGTTTCATAAAAGTCAGTCAATGCTTTCCAAAAGCACGAGCAGTGAAGTCCAGGCCCACGTGACTGAACTCAAAATTGAAAGAAACAGACTAAGAAATGACGTAAGCTCAATGATCAAAACTGCCAAAAAGAATTTCATCAATGTCAAAACTGAGGAAAACAAAAATAAACCCCGTGAACTTTGGAAATTACTCAATAACCAGCTTGGCTGCAGTAAAAAACTCAAAACGAGATTTTCTAACTTAAACATAAAGACAGATAACAGGCTCATCACAGACAAACTGGATGTGGCCAAGTACTTGAACATTTTTTTCACAAACATAGCCACAACTCTTGTAAATAAATTACCCTCCCACTCAGGGCTTTTTGGAGTAGATCACATCATGACCTACTACAAAAACCTAGGGGTACGCAAAGATGATTTCAGTCTAGCAAGGGTAACAACAGCAGAGGTACTCATTAAACTGAGTGCCCTCCAACCTAACAAGGCCACTGGCCACGACAATATCCCCTCCAAATTCCTCAGAGACTCAGCAACCGCCATCTCACCAGTCATAGCTCACATAATTAACCTCTCCATAAAGACTTCAAAATTGCAAGAGTAACCCCCCTGCACAAAAAGGGCAGCAAATTGGACCCAGGCAACTACCGCCCTGTTTCTATACTTACCTCCATCTCGAAAGTCAAGGAAAAAATAGTATATGAACAGGTCGAAAAGTACCTCGCGGAAAAGAAACTAATCTATGAATTTCAATCTGGCTTTAGAACATCCCACTCCACTGACACATGCTTTCTTTATTTGAGCGACCACATCAAACAAGAGGTGGACGAGGGCAAGTACTGCGGCATGGTGATGCTGGACCTACAAAAGGCTTTCGACACTGTCAATCACCCCATTCTGATTGACAAGCTAAAAGCAATTGGTTTTGATAAACTATCGGTGAGCTGGATGCAATCCTACCTGAAGGGGAGAGAACAGATGGTGGAGGTAAACGGTACTCTGTCCCCCCCCCTCCCAGTGAGCTGTGGTGTTCCACAAGGAAGCATATTAGGTCCGTTACTGTTCCTAATTTATGTAAATGACATGTCATCAGCATGTGACTGCAACTTGTTCCTGTTCGCGGACGACTCAGCCCTGCTGGTCTCTGACAGGAGCAGATTGCATGTTGAAAAAACCCTCAGCTCCGAGCTCGGCAGAATCTGCACCTGGCTCGCCGATAATAAGTTATCATTACACCTGGGTAAAACAGAGTCCATTCTCTTCGGTTCGAAACATAATCTCAGCAAATCCGACGACTTCTCAGTTGCAGTGGGTGACATTATTGTCACAAGTAAGAAGGAAATTACATACCTAGGATCTATTCTTGAGGCAAACCTCTCCTGTGACAAAATGGCATCCAATGTAATAAAAAAAGTCAATCAAAGAACTAGATTCCTATACTGGATCTCCTCTCTGGTAAACAAAAACACCCTGAAAACTCTGGCAGGAGCACTCATTCAAGGGTACTATGACTATGCTTGCACGTCATGGTACCATAGCACCTCCAAGGCGCTAAAAATAAAACTTCAAACATCGCAAAATAAACTGGTCAGACTGGCTTGACCTTTCATCTAGAACCCACCTCACCTCTGCCCACTTTGACAACCTAGGATGGCTTAGAGTAGACGACAGAGTACAGCTACTTGCAATGGGCCTGGTCTACAAGATCCACTACACCTCTATGGTACCCATACATGTCAAAATTCTTCCCAAAGGTCAAGGAATACCATGATCATAACACCAGAGGGAGCTCCACAAATCATGTGAAACCCAGATTTGGCACAAAAAAGGGGGAATACACGTTTCGCAATTATGCCACATCAAGGTGGAATGCTCTTCCCACAACTGTAAAGGAAAGTAAAACTATACTTACCTTCAAAACCTCTCTTAAAGAGCACCTTCGGGGGGAGAGCATTGCAAAACTGGCCCCGGTAATGGTACAAATCTCAACCTGTCGTTCAATGGACAGCTTCCCCCCCCCCCCCCATCTATGTATATACTCGCATTTTAGACTCTGTTACTAACTGTATATCTGTAGACTTGGTATGTCTTAAATGTCCGGTTAGGATGTATTAGAACGAAATCTAAAATGAAAATTGTAAACAAGCAATCTGTATGTAAAAAAACCACCTGTATGTAAATTGTAAATAAGCCATCTGTATGTCAAATATGTCTTAAATGACATGATGAATTGGAAATGGGGGACCCTGATGTAAACAAGACGAAAGTCTTTCTCTGGTCTGCATCCCCTTAACA